GTCCTCTGTACGTTCACACACCGCATCACTCGTCTCGATCGTGTCATCACTGCATTTACACCTGAAACACAGAAAATGTGAGAAATGGTCAAAATGACACTTTTAGGACACACTAGCGGTTCCAGCAAAGAAAATGCATGGTGAAGTGCACTGTATAGTGTCCTCGATACACAGATCTTGCCCAGCGCCGAGGTCATGGGTTCGAATCCCAGGGAATGCATGCAAGATAAGATGCATTCGATAAAAGTGTCTGTCAAATGCATAAATGCAAATGAATTACACATAATTAAACAGAGATAATTATACTTATTTAAAAATACTTTTTGTAAACATGTATAATATATTATAAATATGTATAATTATGCATAATTAACATGATAGAAATCGGAATAATTATTTTCAGAAGTTTTTATATTTATATTTTTCAGATGTTTTATATATTTTATATAGTTTTTAAATACTAATGCATTATTAAGCATAAATATGCATGATTGTACAATTGTATGCAAATGTATGAATACATTTTAAATCAAAGTTTGTAATGCTGTACAATTATGCATAATTCATATATATTATAAATATGTATAATTATGTTTATTTAAATAAATTTGGAACTTGCATTCAAATGATTCAGCTGAATTTGTCAGGCCACGCCAAAAAATGAATTGTGTAATATCCATGAAACAATTTGACCAATTAAATTTATCTTCCTTAAGGACATAATGAGTTACTTTAATTTTTTTAATATTATTTTTATAAAATTATTTTTAACAAAATATTTTTAAATACATAATTATAATGAATTTATAATTATAATAAATTATAAATAAATAAATATAAAATAAAATAAATTATAAAATAATTAATACATTTATATATATTATAAACACATATAATGTATAATTAATACATAACGTAAATATTTTATTTTTATGAAATAGTTTTTAATTAACAATATTTTTATAATTATGTATGATTATGTACTTTAATACATAAGTATAATATTATTATAATTACACACGTAATATAAACATTCTCATGAACTGGAACAATGGCTCAGAAAAGCCTTTAAAATGAGCAAAAATTACTTATAGCGAAGTAGTTACTATATAAAACCTACTTATATCGTAGAAAGATGCACAAACAAGTCTCTCTGATGTACGATCTCTGATGCATCTGTTTTAAAGCACGAAAATAATAAAGAACAACAAAATGAGAAGAAACACTATAGCTTTGAAACCTTGAGAAAGCAGACGAACGAGCAGAAAGAGTAACAGGATGTGAGGCCCGAGAGCTCGAGTTTCAAACATCGGTGAATCCCTGAGAGAACGGATCGACTTTCAGCAATAAAACCCAGCAGAATCAACACAGAGATTCACAAAAAAAATACTATTTTTAAATTACACAACTTTTTATACATTATATTTGATACATTATAAAATAACTTTTTATTTACATTATAAATATGTTTAATTATTTTATTTTATAAATTTATATTTTTTAATTACTCAAAATATTTTTAGAAATGTACCATCATATACATTTCATTAATATATTATAAATATGCATAATAAAAAATGTAGCATTTTATTTTTATAAAAGTTATATTACTTTTTTATTAATTACAAGCCCAAACCTAAAACCAAGACAATGTTATTTGCAAAAACGGACTATTTGTGCATGAATGATGCTGATGTGTGTGTGTGTGTTTGTCGTCTTACCCCGGCCCTCATTTGTTCTGGTCTCTGATTCTCAAGCATCGTCTCTTCACGGCTGGTTCTGGATCGTCCCGTCCGCTCGGCTCGGATCCCAGATCCGTGTTTTTCTCCCAGGTTTGTGTTTGTGTGTGTAAATGCGTTTGTGTGTTTTTCTCGCGTAGTTTGGGCGGTACGGACCGTGCGTAGGTGTGCTCTACATCCTGCGGCGCTTCCTCCTCCCCCCTGCTCTCTTTCGATTGGTCGCTCCGGCAGTCCGTCTGCTCTGCCGGCCAGCGATTGGTCGAGCCGTCGTCCCGCCCACTCAAATAGCTGTTCTCTTTCACATCTTCGCAGACGGAGAGAGGAGACTGAGAGGAGCTGTCCAGTGAGAACGAGGCGGCTTGTATGGCGGTCGAACGAGCCAATGAGTACAAAGAGGCGGGAGTAACGATTCTAGAGGCCGTCGCCGTGACGACAGACGCGTAAAGTGCTTTGTGCGTTGGAGATGCGCGCGTGTGAGTTTCCTCTTTCACCGGGTGTTTGCGGAGACACTGAATCACCTGGCGCTCCGACGCGAGAGGAGAAGCGCATTGTTCGGTCTTTACTTTTTTGTTGGGCTCCTCCGAGTGACCCGGATCGGGTGTACGCTCGTGCTCCTGAAGGCTTCGAATGACTCCTTTGTGGCCCGTTTGAGGGAAAACAGGGATGGGAATGGGAATCGGCACCGGGATTGGCACGAAAACCGGGTAGGGTGATAACATCATGGGCTGCGGCCAGGGCGGGGGTAAATGGGGCGGGTACGCCGGGTGGAAGGGCATGTAAGGGGCAGGGAAAGGCTGGAGGAGAGGAGGCGGGGCAAAGGAAGCCCTCTGGTTAGGGCTGAGGGGGCGGGGTGGGTGAGAGGCGGGGCTTCGCAGGGGTGGGCGCACAAAGGGGAGGGGCATCTGAGGTGGGCGTGGCTGTTCCGGAGTAACACGAGCCGGAGAAGAGGGCGATATGCTGGTCTGAATCCTCGGCTGCGGCGGGCTTCGGGGCGAGAGGGTTTTCGCTGGTCTGTCCCAGGCCTCCGGGGTGAGGAGTTTCTGGTTTTCCTCCACAGCCGTTTTGGGGCGGTCCTCCTCATCTTTGTGGGCAGAGCCGGAGAGGGCGGCACGAGCTTCCCGGTAAAACACGTCCATCTTGTACTGGTTTAGGCATTTGGTGCTGCAGAACTGCAGGCGCTCCTCGCCCGCACCGAAGTCCAGGTACTCTTTAGTGTGACGCGCGTGTTTACACCAATCACACACCTGCAGAGAGACGGTTTTACAAAACACATCCATTCTGAAGTCTTCACATTTTAATATTTCCTTTTTTAAGTCACTTTTAGGCATATTTCTACATAAATTATATATTTTTAATTAATTACTTTTTTTATAAACATTAATCATTTTGCACAATTCATTAATATATGAATAATTATTGTATTTTTATAAACAAATATTTATTTTTAATTATTTGCACAAAATATTTTTATATGTGTAATTATGTATGTTTAATACAATACATAAATATGTATACTTATTTAATTTTAATGAACATAATATTTTTAATTACACAAAATATTTTTCTATAATTGAACATTATACATTATTATAATTATTATTATATAAGGCGATCATGAGTTTGAGCAAAAGCAAATTTTCTCAGATAATGTTCAAATTTTTTGCAGTTTAAATATGTGACAATATTTCCCCTTGATATCCATATTTATATTTTTTAAGGTATTGTATTGAAGTAAAAAAATCCAGTATAATGAATAAATAAATAAGAATACATTCCTTAATATTGATGATTAAATGTAATATTTTTTATAAATGTAATCCTTGATATTTGTCTTATGTAGTAACGGTTTCTACATGCAGTAGACATCGGCGCACGTGGACGCTCGTGTGTTTATTTACACGCGTGTTGTTGTTCATCTTCAGCAGAAGTCTTGAGGGCGTGTCCAGCGTCTGGCCAGGGGGCGGAGACTGGTCGCCATGACGATCCTCATCTCGAGCCTGGAGGAACACAAACACACACAAATAGTAATCTGAAGCGCTTTGTTTGTGTGAAATATAAACATGTATTTGTAAGTTAATCAACTAAAACTAAAACTACATGAAAAAAAACTTTTGCCACTTTTGCTGGAAAAAAAAAATTAAACTATAAAATATATATAAAAAAAAATATTATTATTAACAAAAACTATAATCGTATCTCAATAACAGCAGCTGATTCAAACACAGCGACACGTCAGATGTGATGACAATGCGTTTGGTTTTCATTCTAAGTCTAACACTAGATCTATTGTTTTAGCAATGTCTTTCTGTGAAATGCACTCGTCCTGCACAGCCAACGGCGCTTGCTTTGATATCGAATATCAGCTGAGAGACACAGACACGTTTAATAACTGCATCTGAAGAATCCAGAGATGTTATTCTGTGTGTGTGAGTGTGTGTGTGAGTGTGTGTGAGAGAGTGTGTGTGTGTGTGTGAGAGAGAGTGTGAGTGTGTGTGTGTGAGAGAGAGTGTGAGTGTGTGTGTGTGAGAGAGAGTGTGAGTGTGTGTGTGTGAGAGAGAGTGTGAGTGTGTGTGTGTGAGAGAGAGTGTGAGTGTGTGTGTGTGAGAGAGAGTGTGAGTGTGTGTGTGTGAGAGAGAGTGTGAGTGTGTGTGTGTGAGAGAGAGTGTGAGTGTGTGTGTGTGAGAGAGAGTGTGAGTGTGTGTGTGTGAGAGAGAGTG